CTTCTTCACTCCTTCACTTCTTCACTTCTTGTTAGACATTTGGAACCCCGGGTGAAACTCCCATATGAAAAGTTCAGGGATGCTTGTCGGAAAATTTTGAATTTAACTCCTAAAGGAGACTAATGTGGGAGTTGCTGAAGCCTAATTAGACCCCTAAAAGATACCACTTAAAACGGAATAGGTTCGACTACTAGGTCTCGCAACTGCTCAAGAAACGATCAGGAGCACATGCACTGGCATACCCGACTCGCGTACTCGGGAGATCCAGCGGAAATCAAGCCTAAAATTTAAAAAAAAATTAAATGAGAGCGTTGCTTTTATCATTATTTGTTCGAGTGCACCCTAAAGGATACTTTAACAACTAAAAATGGTGACGTTTCGTCATCAACACCCTAAGTGAGACCAGAATCCTTGATTTGTACCCGAGACGATGAGGCTCCCCGACGTTTTCATTTAGGGGTCCCACCCCCGCCCCCCGGGTTTCGAACATCCGCCGTCTAAGGCCGTTTTACAGTCGTTTGCATCGTGTTAATTGTTACTTGCTTTGGTGATCGGACAAGAAGCGGTACTTTCTTTATAATTGTCTCAGTCTCTCAGACGAGGATAACCGATAACTTCATGATCACGAGTGTTTTCAACGGGGTCACATTTTCTCGTGTATTCTCTCACCATTGCGTTTTGCACTATTTCTTAACAATGCCAGTGGGCTCTAACTTTAACTTAACCTACGGATTAAAACCAGTGTCAGTCAGTGGCATCAGATTTTCAGCTAAAGACAGTATCATTTAGTTGATTCCCCCTTTAAATGTTCTTTTATTGAAATTATCCTTCTCATTGCTATTAATAGATTTCATGAAACCCCCCATTTCTTGACACACGTGTGTATATTTAGTGCTTTTAATAGTCACGAAAGTGACATTTCCAACTATGATGTACTTACAGTATAATGAAGCTCGCCATGGTGCAATCTCTTGATCCGGGTCTTTTGGTAGTCTGAATCCCTTAGCAAATGTTTTCACAGGCGTCCAATAAAGCATAACAGGTGGCGTGAAGAGAGGCCGAAGGGTCGAGCCAACCTAGGGGGGTCGAGAGGAATGTCGCCCCGGAAAAGTTTGAAATTGTAGTTTACCAAAGATGCGATTTCAAGCATTTTGGGGGGTAAACTGTTACCGAAAATGAGTTGTTTATGATCATAGGATTGGACGTAGCAAGTAGCGCAGTTTCACCTTTTCAAATATGGTTTTCTACTTGAATCATCTCAGTCTGTAAATCTTAATTTATTGTTATATGTGTACAAATTTTAATAACCGGAACAAGCGGCTACATTCACTTTTACATCCGGTGGAATTCCACCGTTGAAATGAGAACCCTGTGACTGATGTCAGTTGACATACCAGCAATCTAACCAAGTGCTTGGAAACTGCAAAGTTACTATTTAAGGTGCCAAATAGCCGTCCACCAACTGTGTATGGATATGTGACATTCAGTGGTCCCCCCTTTTGGGCCCTCAATTATGACTGATCCCCCTTTCTGTTATCCTCCCACTCCCCCCTTCCAGGCGATAAATAATGACCGGTCCCAAACCAGACGCTGAAAGCCATGTATCTCCCAACAAGTGTTACTATTAGAGTTTTTCCGCACAACAACCTTACAAATGCAGATGTGCCCATCATGACATTGGACTTGTAAATTTCCCGCCCGTTCGATTATAAGGGCCTGTTACTTCATGTCAAAACCTTCAGGGAGCTGACCTAAATTTATGGCGCATGGTGCAGCAGTAGCAGACTAAAAGTAGAAATTCTCGAACACAAAAATGGTTTTCAGTGTTTTTTTATTTTTTGCTTACATTCTAATGCTATTAATCTAATCTAATTCATCCCTTCCTTGAAATGGTGATTATGAAAAAAGTGTCAGAGTAAACTTGACTGTTTGATTTTTGAAATGTTCTTTAGCTGTAAACTTAACCAAAACTGAACAAACAGAGTGACCTGATCCGTGCGAAGCTATTTACTTAATTATTTCACTTTTTATGTCGTTTCTATCATCTTAGCATTTTCTTTATCACTCATGCCGCAATTTTCTTGTATTGTTTCTATGTAAATACTTTAGAGTTTTAGTCAGTATCTCATTAGCATTCTTATAATCGATTGTATATATTTAAGCACATACAAGAATCTTACTTTTCAACTTGAAAGTGACATTCGAACGGTTGAAACGTCGTTGTTTTTTGACGTTAACTTCTATGTGGAATACATTCTAATGCTCTTACAATTCATCAAGATTGTTAAGCAGTTTCTTCACCACTTCATTGATGATTGTCATACTAGAATTTGCCTGTTAACACATTTCTTAATGCGCCGTCTGCGCTTCCACTTTTTGCTTCACTCAGTTTCCTTTTAAAATTTATCTAGTTTCATAACGTATTTGCCAATACAGTAAGCTGAATAAAATATGCAGCAATTAATCACGCCAGTGTACTCAGTCTTGCCTGGGCGTGCGCCTCTTTCTTGAAAGAGACGCAATAAGCCATCTCATTTACATGCCCAAGGTCCTGAAACAAAATGTATATATTTGCATTTGTAAGGTTCTTTGTGTGGAAAAGTTCTATTGTATTGTGTTGCACTGGAGACAAACAGAATCTCTGAGATCCTTAACTGTCATGTTCATGTTTCGTACGTTTAATACCTTTCTTCTCAAGAAAAGTTAATATATATAGTCTGTGCTTGACTTCTACATGTACTCTCTCCTGTGACCAATTTATTTTTATTTTGTGCTTTGCTGTTGTTGGTTTTGTATGCTGTCCTTTTTAATTTTTCTATTGTACTTTTTCCTTTTTTGCAGAAATAAAAATGTCTGACGTATTTCCTCTGGGAGACTCACCCAGAGAGTTAAACAACGACTATATCTTGCATATATTGGAATACCCTCTAGGGCCAAAGCGGTTTGGAGTCTGTGTACAGCATAAATATGATGATGCATCAACTTCATTTAAGGTACATGTAAAAAAAACTTTGGACATGTTACAGTGCTAGCGTGATTTTGCACAAAATACTTTGATTCATGTAGCCATTACACTATAAGTTCATTTTATCCTTTATTTACAATTGACTACCCAGTAGGATATGATGATAACTTGTGCAAACATGGTATGGAATAGTTAGTTTATATGGGGAAAGTGGAAACCTAGAACAAACAATGTCTTTTTGTAGAAAACGTTTAACTATTGAGTCAATACTTTAGACAATGTAGTATTCATGAATTGCTTTCTTTTCCTGTAAATAGTTCTTAGTCTGTGATAGCTTTATTTTTCACCATATAAATAAACAAACTAAACCATATAGCTAAGCGTATGTTCCACGTTAAATAAAATACTGCATTGTGTAATGTAAAATGAGATGTTAAAAATTAATTGATACTTATTACTATATCTCTCAGTACTATACACGCTGTGATTGGTAAATTTATCGGGCAGTATACGTAATTTTTGTTGCCCGAAGTGCTTTTCTTTTCCTCTATTTTTTTTTTCTTATCACCGAGTGTTCTTAAATTTCATGACAAGTAAAAGTCGTAAACGTTCATTTACTTTAAATTGTGTATCAATTAGCTCTTATTAACCGAGCAGGAGGTCTGTATGGGAGAATCTTGACCGTGGTCGTGAGTACAGACCGAATGCAGTGAGGTCTGTACACATGACCAAGGTCAAGATTCTCCCATACAGACCAACTAAGCTCGGTTAATAAGATGTTTATAATATGACAAAAAAGAACAATTTAATTTGTTTAATGTAAACGGTTTGTACTAACTGACACTTTGCTTTTGAACGGCGATGAGCTGAATTTAACTCTGCCAATGTTTGCTGGTCCTCTTTACTTTTTTTTTCACATCAGGCTTTCTGGCACTTCCATGAATAAATATTGTTAGATGAAAATGGTCAATGATTTTGCATTTTAGTTTGCAACTTTTTCAATGTAAGCGGTCTAGATGCGGGTCTAGATGGGAAAATCGAGACCGCGGTGAAAATCGATTTCAGCCAATCGAATTCGTGAATTCATTAGTTCCCAGTCCTTGTGTGACACAGCCATATAATAAATATATTTTATTGCCCACAGCAAGATCATTTTATGTCAGTAGTGATTGTGAGTGTGGGAGGCGCGGTGGCCTCATGGTTAGTGCGCTCGTCCCCGGATCGAGCGGTCCGGGTTCGAGCCCTGGCCGGGGACATTGTGTTGTGTTCTTGG